TAATAATTTATTAAAATAATATTATTTTAATGTATTTTTCACTTAATTTTTCTTAATATAAATTAATATCTACTTTTTTTATGTTTCATAATTTTTAAATTTCTCTAATAAAATCTTATTTTTTTAAAGAATAACCCTTGAAAACATTTTTTTTTTTTTGACAAAATAAAACAAATGCCTTTTAAATATAGACAAACACCTTCTTCGTCTCCCAACATCTTGACCCTTAAGCGTGACGAGGCACATGCACATTGTCCTCCCACTTGGTATTTTTTTGGTGTGTTTGAAGTTGATTGAATTAAATTCCATCATAAATTAGGCTCCTTCGAGGTTGTATTTGTGAATTATTATTATTATTTTTATTTATGCTCGTTGAACTTGACCTATTCTTGATTGTAATCTTTAATTGTATTTTATGTTCTAGCATTTGTTCTTATAGTTTAGATAAAAAAAATTTTATGTAGATACCGTATGCAGTTCATCTCAACATATAAATTCTCCTAAGTTATATAATTTTTTTATGTAAATACCGTATGTAGTTCATTTTTTATTTCTACTAAAAAATGAATAAAGTTAAAATAGGTAATTTAGCAACTTTAATATCTTTACCACTAATGCAAAAAGAGGCTAATGCAGATGCTTTGGTGGGGATTATACAGATTAAGTCTTTATTATGGTTAAAGAATTTAATTAATGATTGTGAATTTTCTTTATATGGTTAAATTTGTAATTTTAAATTATGTATTAAATCAATAGTTATATAATTATATCATTTTTTTTTTTGGTGGAGGGGTGCTAGGGACACTCGCCTTCTGCACTCTCCGGTCAACACTTTCACTTTTATTGAGCCACGTTATTCTGGTCGGTAAGAAGTTGCACTTCAAAGCTGAAAACAAGCTTACCTGGCCCAATGAAAGGGGAAGTGTTGGCCGGAGAGTGCAAGAGGCGAGTGCCCCTAGCACTGCTCTTTTTGTATTAGTCAAACTTGCCCCTGGCACTGCTCTTTTTTGTATTAGAAAAACTTGATACAAATGGATGGAAATATCTCTTATACTTTAAATTAATAAAATTTATTTAATTGGTAAAAAAATCTTTTTCACTATTTTTTTTTTAAATCTAACGAATTTTCAATGATAAAAAATTAGTAGTGTGACTGACCGTAAAATCTAAAATTTCATATTATCGTAATAAGTAATACCTTGTCACCTTCTATTAAAAAAAAAAAAGTACAGCGGTTAGAGAGTTAGTGCTGTACCTTGCATGCTATTATTAACTTGTCCACTGCAAAATTAAATAAAAAGTTAAAGTAGCTTTTTTATTTTTAATCGATAAGTTTAAAGCAGTTTATTTTGATAGTATTAACATTTTTTTCAATGCAAAATTAAATAAAGTCAGTATTAATAATTTTATCAACAAATGTTTTACACATGGAAAAGAAAGAACATTATTTTATTTATTATTCATTAATACTATTTATTAAATTTTATTATCATTAAAGTTTAAAAATTAAAAAAATTAAAATTTTAATAGTGTTTAAT